TTTCTTTTGAAGAGATAGGTAGTTATGTTGTATATTGTCTGACTTACTAATACTAGACACTTGTAAAATTTTAAATTGGATGCAGTATACAAAATAGTTTAAAGTGAAAGATGAGTGGATCTTTCTGCTGACAACTTAGGTTGTATGAGTTTTGCTTGAAAGCTTTAAATCTGATGTTTCTGTATCTGCCACAATGTTGGAATGTTTCCTTCAAACATATCCTCCTGCAACCTCTCAAACTGTACTAAATTGAGTGATATTTCTTGAAGTCTGCCTATGTGCTAACAGAACTTCACTTTAAATAGAATATGGTTTTAATTTTTGATAAGCTGCTGAATTTTAAAGAGTTTTTGGGGCCACCAAATATTTTGGATCATGCAGAGAATATATATTGTACTGTAGTAATTTTGTATTTACATTTGTATGATGTGACATAATAGATGTGAATGTTAATCACTGCTTGACTATGTTAATAAAGTTGTTTAAGTATAGATGTTGCATTCCAATTTTTAATGAAAGATGAAAATTTCATGTTGAATTTATGTTTTGCCTGACTCAGTAGTGCACTCTTCTGGTTCACACATGTAAGTTCTGGAGTCTCTTGAATAAGGATTTTCATTTTATCTGAAAGAAGATGATCTTTGGATAAGTTAAGGTCAGTTCAGTTTAGATGCTTCATGCTGCTTGACGGCAGATCAGTGTAGAAATAGGAGGTTTATATGAAGTGAAATTAATGCCTGTTGGGTGATACTGGTAACTGCTTTGCTACTGAGAACTGGTACGTTGACTGTATTTTTGTTTGAAATAGCTGATGCTCGCTAAGTCTGACCAAATGGGAAAGGGGAAAAAAAAAAAAAATATTCTCATTGCTTGTGCTGTCAATAATGTGAATTATAAAGGAGTAAACTAAAAATAAATGAAAATTATTCAAGACCTTGAACCAAAACTTGCAGTGGTCTTAGTCTAATTTTATCTAGCTTTTATGAGACCATGATAATACAAACTATTTAAAGATCTGTCCTTCCATTTATGTAAGTTCTTGATACAGGAGTCTCTAAAATGAAAGTATGAAACTAACAGTAGTAGCTCTCTGGACAAAATCCACCCATGTTGATTTGAACATCTTATGTTCACTTCTAATATTTAACAGTTGGTCAGCAGCATGTAGACAATTTAGACATGTCTAGTACAGATAGCTTCTATAATGTAATGATTAAATTAAAATGCATTGTCATGATATAACTACTTACTATAATAAAATTTATAGTAGAAATTAATTGCTGCATACTCAGCTGAAAGTCTGCTTAATGAAGGACATCTCTTTCTGGAAGCAGAAATCTGAGGCGGCCATGGAATAGCTGTTCAGAGCAGTGT